TGTAGGTCAGAGTGTAGGTTTGAGTGTTCAAGTGTAGGTCAGAGTGTAGGCCAGAGTGTTCGATTGCAGGTCAGAGTGTAGGCCGGAGTGTTCGAGTGTAAGCCAGAATGTTCAAGTGTAGGTCTGAGTGTTCAAGCGTAGGCCAGAGTGTTCGCGTGTAGGTCTGATTGTATGTCAGAGTTTAGGTCAGAGTGTTGGTCAGAGTTTAGGCCAGAGTATAGGTAAGAGTGTATGTCAGAGTGTGGTTCAGAGTATAGGTCAGAGTGTAGGTCAGAGTGTTGTTCAGAGTATAGGTCAGAGTGTAGGTCAGAGTGTTGGTCAGCCATTTGGCCAGAGCCTCTGGAATAGTTTTTGGGGTTAAGGCCCTGGCTCATGGGCCCAGCAGTCATAAGGCTACTATGCCAGCCATGGGATTTGAACTGATAACCTGCAGAGCCACAGACGACCCCCATTTGTGATATTGATATTATTTCTTAGTATTAGCTAGATAACAGAAAGTCGTTGAAGATTAAAGATTCTTAAAAACTGTGGTTTTTGTGTGTATGACTAAGAATTGTTTATTTCATTTAAAAGCTATTTAACTCATGCTGGAGTTCAAGAAAATGTGAGCTTTCTGTTACACTGTGAGGCTTCTGTATTCAGCCAGTCGGGAAGCTGATTTCCGGAATTCATGGAGAAGTATGTGTCAAAGGCTGAATAGATTCAGACTGAGCGTTGCTTGCCTGTGTGTGGCATCATTGGGCATTGTTCTCCTGGGCTAAGTCAAGCTCTCATAAATTTATTTTCCCAGGATTCTCTGTCTGTGTTTGTGTGTGTATGTATACAGCGGTCTGTATGGGTAAAAAAAAAATTCCTACACAGCTATAAAAACAGTGAGTATATAACACTAAAAGGAACTGAACCTGCTGCATGCACACTGAAGCATTTTTCAGCATTTCATTGTCTTTTCTAGCATTGCTGGTTACGTATGTATGGGTTAGAACAATAAAGCTACGCAAATTGAAAAAATGGGTTCAAATATGACTGCAAACACACCCCACTTTCCCAACCAACACTACCCTGTTGTGTGTCGGTTTGCACTTAATCGCATGCTCTTTTCAAATGGCAAAAACATCCTCCAGATCTGATTCATGGGTCAACCCACCACAGGGTGGCGCTGTGTCAGGTGGAGGTGGAGCTGAGCCGCCACTCCCACTTGCAGAAGGAGGTGCAGCTGGAGGTACAGGACTGGGAGGCAGAGCAGGAGGAGAAAGCGGCTCACGGGCTACAGAAGGAGAGGGAGGCTGTGCAGAGGACCCACCTGAGGGCGCAGAAGGAGAGACGGTAAAGTGCCCATGTCAACTAGTGTGACAGGAAGTGTGACACGCTGGTTGTGGTACCTGGGCTACCTTCACTGTATATAAATACCACATCCTTCATCCAGCCACTAGCAGGTCATAGTAAGTTTATTACACCAGGGGCGCAAAGGACTCCCAAAAGTATAAGTAATCACACTTCGCCTCACACTTTTGGGACCAGGGTTCGAGTCTCCACCATGTGTGCGGAGTTTGCATGTTCTTCCTGTGTCATCGTGGGGTTTCGTCTGGGTCCTCTGGCTCCCCCCACAGTGCTGAGGTTAACTGGAGTTACCTAATTGCCCATTGGGGTGTGAGTATGCCCTGTAATGGGCTGGTGGCCCATCCTGAATCATTCCCTGCCCAGTGCCCGTAGCCTCTAGGATAGGCTCCAGACCCCCCGCAACCATGAATAGGAGAAGGGGTTACAGAAATGGATGGAAAAGCTCAATCAGGGGACATCCTAGAGGAAGGACATTCATATGGTCACCAGAAATTAGCATGGACTTGCAGAAGCAATGGCCTCATAATGAAATGAAGTCCATTCATCCAGAGCCACCTTCAGTATATGGTCATGGTGACTAAAGTGAACTGTGTAGGTGAATGAACATATGGGCAAATAAGCATACATGGTGTTATGGTTGTGAAAATGAATGGATTAATTGTATTTGGAAAAATTACATATACAGTAGAAATTTCTGGTAAATTTCCCTGATAGGGAACAGTCGTCTTTGATGCAGTCAGGCATAGTCAGGAGTTTGGTTTTGAAATGCTTTATGGAGTGATGTAGATTAATGGGTGTAAGGAACTGTGGCCACTGACAGGTTTACCTTTCAGGTCGTATAATGGCTGTAAACACAGACAGATGTATTTTTTATGCATCATAATAGCTGTTAGAAGCAACAATGGCAGATACCTGCTGTTCAGTATAAGAGGTGTAATAAGCTATAAACACTGACAGATGGAGTGTAATACAAATGACCAGAGGATGCAACCTGCATCAGTCTTGGCATCTGAGTCCCCTCTTCTGGTGTGACATCATCACTGCATCATGTCAGTGGGCTTCACTGAGAAGCACCTCAATATTACCAAAGCTACCATGTGTGACATCATCACTGCATCATGTCAGTGGGATTCACTGAGAAGCACCTCAATATTACCAAAGCTACCATGTGTGACATCATCACTGCATCATGTCAGTGGGCTTCACTGAGAAGCACCTCAGTATCACCAAAGCTTCTGCGCATGTGCTGCACTCACATTCATAACTGATTTCTTTCACACAGTCAAGGGAGAACTACTGCTGTAGACTCTGATATATCTGATATATTGTTTTACAAAATGTCATTCCAGCTTGTTTAGAGCTATCAGTCATTTATGACAGTCCTGTAGTACGCTGTCATCGGACCCTGAACGTCAGGTTGTGAGGCAGTAAACATTCCCCCTGGTGTCTGTCTCTGTGGAAGGAGCATCATGACCAAGCTGTAACCAGTGTTTCTTTCTGTTTTCCTCCAACACCATATCACCTCATCCCCTCAGAACAAACTTCTTTGCACGGCAAGCAGAACTGTAGCATCATATTAGCAATCAGTAGCATCACACCACTTTCTTCTTCTGCAAACGAGCTACTCAGACTGATGACATATGAGTGAGACAATGACAGCTAGTTCCACCACTTTTCTCAGTACTCTTTAATGTAGGAATGTCTTTTGGAGAAAGGAGAGATGTTTCTAAGTGCAAAATAATTAGCATGTTTGTGTTTATGCCCTTGACTTTGAGTGTGTGAGTTTGCATGTTAGGAATCTTGAAATTTCCCTTAGCGTGTGATTTGATGATTTGATGTGAGAGCGAGTGTCTGCATTATGACGGGCTGATATCCTGTGCAGGGTGGCCCCCTGTCTTCTGCACTCTGTGTCCTGGCACCTGGGTAAACATGGGATACAGATGCCTGGATAATTAGTCACAGTCTTTCCGTCTACATTTATGTTTTAATATCTCTATGATTAGCCATGTACTAACCCCTTCGGAGATTATTTGCTGTGTTATCAGTTATAATATACAAATGAAATATCTTCCACATAACCAGGGGAGTCGAAAATAGGGGAGACGGGGGGGCGCGTCACCCCCAATATCGGTAGACACCTCCCCCATAAATAAATAAATAATAGCGTGTCTCTTATCTTGTATTATGAATCCGTGCATTACTGAGACCAATTAGCTGCCCGCGCAGAGCACGAGGACAAAACATATACGAAGATTGTAGTCCTGTATCAGACAAAATCATTTTATAATATGGATCAGTTATTTTTTTATGTGTCCCCTAAACAGTGTTAGTCTTATTTTGCATGATTGAGTCTTTATTATTCTAAAATTATTTTTAAATCTTTCTAATATCACATCCTATTCCATATGTGCCTATTATGATGTCATAATATACACCCCCGCCCCGCCGCCAGGGCAAACTCACCCCCCACCCCCCCCCATTGTCAAACTGCTCCCGATGTCACTGCACATAACTCAGTATTACCAGCCGTCAGTGCTGTGTGTACACCTTTGATGAGAGGATTGTACAGTATTAGACATGGTTGGCCGACTGGTGTCGCTTATCTGTTTGACGGCAGGAAGCTGGCAGCTGTCATGAAGGAGCAGCAGGAGAGCCGCCGGAAGGCCACCGAGGATGTCAGGGCAGGCAGGCAGAGAGCTTCCGTGTTCCTCAAGCAGACCATGACCAGGTAGAACCTCTATCCCTGCAGGACCACCTTCTGTCTTACCCGACATCTCCACCATGGACTAACACAGTTGGCTCTTTCAGATTCCTTCCAAATTTATCCCCCACCTCAGCTTCTCAAGACAATGACTTCTTGAGTTCTTAATACAGTGTTCACAGCAAGTCTTGGGATTCTTGCTTAATTTTGTAACAATGATGCAAATTTATTGGTTTCATAACAAATGTCCACTAACAAACAGTGTTTAACAAATATGCATATATCTTCCTCACAGACATTTCTTTTAAAGAGTCATCATTTTTTTTTTACTAATTCAGGTTTTCCATTCAGGTCTTTTCTTGCCACTTTGTTAATTGCAATTGTAGTCATTGCCTCCCAATGGGATCCTAAACACAGCTTATCAGTGAACCTTTTACTCAGAACAGCTCTTTTAGATTTGGGTTTCAAGTTATTACTACTTGAAATGAATGTTTTACTTAAAACTACTGGTTGTTTGTAATGTAATATATATATTTAGGAAACAAATGAATAAAGTAATGATTTGTTATAAAACCAGTAAATTTGCAACATTGTTACTGAATTAAGCAAGCATTCCAAGACTTTCTGTGCATGTCCTTTGTCATTTCTGTAAGCAGGGTGTCTGTTTACATTTGTAAGTATAAAGATTAATGACCTACAGCAGAAAAATCACAAATATACTGATCTCACAAACAGGACTAAGTGCGATGTCACCATGTTGTCCTATTCCAGGAGAACCTATAAAAACTGCAGTCCCTATGTTTTTAGATATCAGAGAAACTTCTGGCACCAGGTCTGACACTGAGTTAGTACAATGTATTGGAATGTTCTGTGGTGTTCACCAAGGAGTCTGTTATTGAAAGAGAGGACTACAGGTAGTGCAGTGGTTAAGACCCTCACGTCTATTCACAGGAGTCATTGGATGATTCTCAATATGAACAATGTAAAGATCGTACTTGTGGTCTTGGCAAGATTGGTCTTGCAAGCTTGTCTCCCAAGAACAAACTTGGGGTGCAGTGAATCATGGGATTGGTCTCATTTAGCTAGGATACAACCGATTTATCCATGATATTTGGAGCGGGACAAGAATGACGTGGGGATTTTTACTGTCCTCCATACCTCAGTTCTGTACTGGAACTGGTCTGCGGCAGTGGAAGATGACGTAAAACGGGTACACGAGAACACAAGTACGGTCAAGTAAGCATATTGAGAAACAGACATTCTGCCATATGCTGAAGTCAGTACACCTGCAGGAATCACTGCACCAACTAGCCAGCTATATAGGAGTCAAACATAGAAAACCACTATGGGTAAATGTTTCTTAAAGTATGCTGCACATGTGCTGTAGAATTCATCAGGAGAAGGCCGCAAAGGAACAGGAAAGTCAAGAGCTGATTTCCAAACGGATGCAGGCGCTCCTTTCTCTGAAGTCCAGCATCACAGCCATCCAGGTACGATAAGCTTCAAAAGTCATCTCTTTTCTCAGGTTCATGTGTCAAGATTACTTAGCTGAAGTATTCATACGTAGACTTCAAACTAAATCTCTTACAGAAGAGTGTTTTAGCCAAGAGAACGGGCCGCAATATTGTATCTGCGGAGACCTGGTGTTACGTTTTCATTGAGGAATCATTCTCGGCTGTCGAGGCAACATTTTTGATCCCCCGCAAATAGCATTTCATTAATTTATAATAAGTGTGCAAATGAGGTGGAGTGAAAAGGCCTGGATTTATTTAACTGAGAAGTACAGTAATGGTATAAACCCCCCCCCCCCCTTGGAATCTACAGTATGTTCTGCTTATCACTCCCCTTCCCTCCCAACCAAGTGATTTCCTAACACCAGCAGCCCAATCCCAGGAGCCAAATGCGACCTAACCCCCTCAGAATGATATACCCGCTTTTGAAGCACACAATAGGTTGCAGACCACAAATAACGAAAACAATCAGATGACGATGAAGCACAGCGATTAAGTGTCTGGAGTAACAACATGACCATGTTATACTACTGAGAATAGCTGTGTGCTTGGCACTCACTCACCCATCTGATATCTGTGCTACAGGAGAGCCTGCAAGTAAAGCAGGCCAGGGACAAGGGTTATGCCTTAAAGCGAAAGGAGGAAGAGAAGAGTTTGATAGAAAGACTGCAGCTGGAAGGAAGTGATGTCACAAAGTTTATGTACCAGCAGAAACACCTTAAGGACTTTCACAGGACTAAGGAGTAAGTTTCAGGACCCTATTGGCTCTCATTCCTGTTCCTAATTGTTTGTTAATCAATTTTATTCCAAAATAAAGCTATTTGTGTAGCTTATTTTGTAACCATTTTTACTTAGCTAGATATTTTTAATGAAGTTATTTGGATTGAGTTATTGTTCAAGGGTACAATAAAAGGGCCTCTTTGGAAACTTAAACCACTAACCATTTGATTGCAACAATTAACAGTTCAAGACCCCAGGAGTGACTTAATGCCCTGCGATATAAACTCTACTAAATATACTGGCTGATTAAATGTATGCTCTTGATTTCTAGAGAATTTGAAAAGAATCAGAGATCCAAGCGTGTGGAAATAATCTCCAAGTTGTTGCGGGAAGAAGCTTTGGCAGAGAAACACAAGAAACACAGCATTCTTTTTTTCCCACCAACTCCACCAACTGGGGCCAAACCTTTGGGACCGAGTAAATCACGAGAAAAATTACTGCAGTACCTAAAGTCGGCATCCGCACAACCAGACAAGGACCTTGTGACTCTTGTGAGTTAAACTTCCTGTCCACGAGAGAGCAGGGGACAGCCATGATTTGTACATCATGAGTTCAGGTCTTCCTGCTATGCTACGTAACCTCTAAACAGCTCTCTTTCTGTTCCTGCCATGAGCGAAGGAGCAGCACAAATGCTACCCGGCATCGGACGAGGAGAGTGACTCCAGCAGAGGTGACTCTGTAGACCTCCTGAGGATAGACGGCCCGGAGGAGGAAGCAGAATGGGAGCTGGAGGAGAACCTCACTCAGCCTGAATTCAGAGGCCTCTGGGAGCCGACACACAAAGTGCTTCAGGTGACCAGACTTATGGTTGGCTTGCGGAAGCAGTGGGGTTCATGTCTGAAGCACTGTTTATAATATGTGGATTACATTTACATGTCATGCTTTATTTACGGTAGTTATTCAATGTAATGTACTTTTTTATGAGAGACAGCTGTGGCAGACAATTCCTGCAGTAAGGGCATTGCTCAAAGCCCAGTGGTGAAATCACTCAGCCATCTGGGACTTGAACCAGTGACCAGCCGAGCACAAGCATAGCGCCATAATCCTCTGAGCTCCCATTGTTTGGATTATGAACTAGTAACCTATTGGTTATAAGACCATTTCCTTAACACCTGTTATAAACCTGTTATATATATATATACATATAAATAAACTCAGCCAGATCTGCACCTGAAAATGTGAGTTTTGTTCCTGGAGAATTTAAAAAGAAGCAAGAATCCAAATTTTTCAGTCGTGTGCCATATACCCAGTCCATTAACTGGTATTAAACACCAGTTAAGAGAGCATTTGTATTTGTTCAGTATTTAGTTTGCCATGTATGGAACTATCAGTTCCAAAACACACTCTCTTTTTGATGAATCGGTTGTATTTTGAACACGGCTGATAAATTCAAGACTGCAGCAGCCGTTTGCATAGAGAGATGCTGACTGCATGTCAGGGCTGAGGGTCTCCAGGATGCCGTCAGCCTGCTGTGGTCTGCAGTACCTGCTGAGCAAGTGGGACAGGGAGCCGGGACAAGGCTGAACCTGACGGGGCAGCGTGCGACTGGCCGCTGGCTCACAGAGCCTGCTGACAGGATGCCGCCTTCCTCGACTTATCAGGACGGGAGTCACCTCCCTCCTGCATGCTTTCATGAAGCTCTAAACCAAACCTGACATTCTGCCCTGCCGTGTCTGTACAGCGCAAATCATGTGGAAAAGTATTCATCCTCAATATCTAGTTCTACATGTCCTCTCCTGACTTTACCATGCAGTGAGCTGAGCAGTTCTTTAACATTTTCATGAAATGTTAGAATAGTGTAAAATTGTTATTTTCCTTTTGTTCCTTTGTTTGTCTTAGGGGAATTTGCAGCCGCTCGTGTCGGATAAAGACAAAGCAGTATGAGAACCTGCAGTAAATGGCTGTGCCCTAGTACATCAGATTAATGATTTGTGATAGACATGATAGAAATTAGCTGAACGGAAAGCTCTGCCTTTGAAGATGCGGGGGGTGGAGGTCTCGAAGGCTGTCTTCAGCATCTGGTGAAGTTCGGAGACTCGTTCCCTCCTGCCGTTGACAGCAAAGCCACACTAAATCGTTTTGAGGACACATCGCCGCTGTTAATCAGACGGGATCTGCTCCGATCTCATCAAGTCGCCGTTCTTGTTTGTGAAATAATATGCTGTCAGTTTGTGAAGTTACAAACTCGGAGGTAATTAAGTGCCATAGTGAAATGTATTAATGCGTCACTCAAATCGAGGCCCATTTTCTGTTTCGTTTTGCAGTTGGATGCTGCAGGACTATTGCAACCCTCCTATATGCTTGTTATCTATGCCTTTTATATAAATATATTGACACAGCATGTTCAAAATGTTCTCAGCCAATACAATAAACAATATGATAGAAAATACACTTAAATAAGTAGTAGTCTACAGTAATACTATTCATTTTGAACTGATTTCTTACACAGAATAAATAAAACAAAATAGCCTTCTAGAAAAAAAAATCACTGGGATGTAAACAGTGTTACCTAACAGCCACAGAACCACACAGAAAGATAGGGCATCGTACTTTATAGTGATTTCTAATCTCAACCTACACTCAGTTCCTTTGAAATCTGAAAGCATTCACATGAAAATGGAATTCAATATGCGTTTGACTCTGTTCTGCAGCTCCCCAAATGTGAGATGACTTTTGTGAAGTCAGCTTTCAGCATGCAGTGTTTCCATCCCCGCAATGCAGCATTTCCCGAAAGCAAAAAGGGAAATTCATAAACAGTGGGACGTTGCGTTTGCTCACACAACACAACCGTGCGAGCTTTACTAGGTTAACAGCCTGGGGCTTCCCTCTGCAACCACTGTAAAAGATACCACCATTCATTGTATTGAGTAGATCTGAAGTCTTAGTGCAAAGTGTGTGCATGACTTAGTGTGAATTCAGTTTGTGCACTTTTCTGTAAATTAGTGTTTCGACTGCGGAGTGTAATCAGTGCTGACATAATGCACATAGAGATCAATCATGCCTTACAGTACATGTTAGTAATGGCGTTGTTCAAGTGCCCTTAGTAGTATCTGTCTTCTCTTTTGGTACTAATATATGCCTTCAAAGTGTTTGGTAAACAAAGCAGAGTAGGCTGATAAATTAGGAATGACTCATTTTTTTAAATTAACGTCTGTCTTTCTGACATTTTCACCGAATTAGAAAAAGCTCTCTGTTACGACACTTTAGTAATTGGTCTTGGCTGTTTTCTCATATTCTTCCTGAGCAGAATAGTGATACTTCATTCTCCCCCATGCGGAAGTTGTCTGTCTGCTTAACCCTTTCTTGCCAGTACCAGGATACCAGTCTTTATTAGTAAAATGGTTTTTTTTAGGAAAATCCACTGCTTATGTCAACAACAATTTAAGACTTTGCCTGGCACAAGAACTCACATAACCTGCAGACAGGACATATCTGTTTGATGTGCTTGTTTGTGTGCATGTGTGTGTGGGGTGGGAGGGGATGTGGGGGGGGGGGGGTGGGGGGGGTGGCATTTTTTCAGTCGTCCCAAGTGGAATCTGAATTTTACAAAAATCTGTGACTGCTACCAAAAAACTTAAAATGCCAAAAGTCTTGTATTTTGTTTGGTTAGTTATGGTTAAGGTTAGGGCCGAGTAGGGGTTAAAGGTGTCAATGCTGTGATTAGAGTTTTACCCATAGAAATGAATGGACGGTCACCACAAACGTGTATGTGTGTTATTTGAGTGTGCAACTGTTTTTACAAAAATTTGCTCAGAATACTAAATTATACAAAGTGATTTTTTTTTCTAATATAAATTGGATCACTGGATACAAAGCAATTATAATCAGTCAAATTTTGCATTAAAGAAGTGTTAATAAAAAAACAGGAAGCTAAGCCTTAAAAATGCTTCCCTGAGCCCTTTAAGGCTATTGGGGTTCCTGAAATGGGCCACCACAGTGCAGGAGGCTGGCGATGCTGACCCATTACATCTCTGCTGTTTCAGGTTCCCCAGGATGGGGGGGGCGCCACGAAGCATTCTCATTTAAGCAAAATGGAGCAGAAAGCACTTGTGCCACTTCCCAGAAATCACCAGTGTGTAATGGCTCGGAAAAAACTTCCAGGTGGAAAGGAATTCAAAGGAAATCCCTTTGTCAGCAAACCAGAATTAATCACTTTCAAGGTGGGTCATGTTTTTCCATCAGCCAGGATGTGTGCGATTTTCTGCTAAATCTGTTGTTCGAATGAAACGCATGTTGCACACGAGAAACCATTTAGATAAGGCACCCCAGTGTTGGGCCACAAGTATTAATGGGAAAAGTAAACCCTGTTCTTGTAAATAGTTTGTCTAAATTCAACTTATCTATGATTGGTTTTTCTTCAGCTAATTAGAATGTAGAAGACTCCAGCGCCTTACCTAAATGAAAACTCTACTGATCATTTAATTTGTGTCATAGTTCAAATTGGAGTAAGATTAAGCACAGATGCTGCAGGATTTGGTTGATCTTTTTCAAAGCGGCGTGTTTAATCTGCTTCAGTTTAAGCAATCATTGCTTAATCACATGAAGAAGATGATAAGTACAGATATTATCTCCAAAAATGCTAGCAGTGAAATGGTGAATTTTTATTGAACTTATACAGTTGTGCTAAATGTCTATTTTCAAAATGATAGGAAAAATATTTAATGGCTGATCTTGGTCTAAAATGCCTATAAAATGTTCATGCATTGTTTTGCAACATTGGACCACAGTGGATTTAATTAGGCTTTTTTCACCCTCAAAAGGAAAAGATTTTGAGCCCTATTTTCCACCTGCGCAAACCGCATCGCGAAGTGATTTTCCTAGTTTTGTACCAGTGCAGTGATCATTTTCACGCCATGCGGATGTCATCAAAATAGCAAATGATTTTACCCCCGCTTTCCGCACATAGGAGTGGTGATTTTTAAATGAAGCATGACCGGGCGAATTGTTAGTACGTTGCTTTTTTAAGGCATTGAAATGACATGGCACTTTTGACAAGAACTACGTCTAAAGACAGTGGTGCATTGTTAAATGGTATTTAAGTGGCACATTTTAGAAACGTGTGGGTGCACAATGCTTGTTATTGACACAGGTATGCGCTTGAGGTGCACTAATAGTTTTTTGTTATTTTTTTAAAGTTATATACATTTTATTATAGAGTACATCTGGTGCTTTCACGTAATCATGCTGTTTAATGAAGCACCAAAATATAAACAATATATATTAAGTAGGGCTGTCAAAATTGACGGGTTAACGCAGATTAATCCATCATCATGATTAATCTGATTAAAATTTTTAACTCAATTAACCCATCTGCAGTGCAGAATGACTCAAAATCCCTGAAATGTTGTCAACCCATTTCGGGCGGTGTTGGTGCGTTCCTTTTGCCCTGGGAAGTCGTATTCCGAGTCAGATTCCGAGTTTTGAAGCCGGAAGTGACGACATGCGTGCTCCCGTTTTTCGGAGATCCGAGAAATATCTCGGAGCAGCACAGAGTATCCCAAGTTCAGAATCCAAGATGGCTGCGCCTTTTATCAACAGAAGGGAAAGTTGTAGTTTTATCCTGTTTAAGCACTACTCACTTGTGACTCATTAGATCAGTCGCACACACTATACCGTCCAACTTATCTGTGGACGTGTTGCTACGGAGTTTTATATGTAAAGCACCGCGCGTAATGTGTTATCAACTGATATTGTTAACAATGGCAATTAACTGGGCTTAGGGTGACCAGATAATCCATGTCAGGGAGACACTTTGAGCTACTTCGGGTTTTACAAACTACTTTCAAATTGAAAGGCTCCTGTGCTCAGCTAAATAGTTCAGCTCTTCTTGTGCTTTGGCTGGTTTGTTTCCTTAACTGAAAGACTCATCCAGCTGTTTTACATTAGCATTAGTGGCACATGCATAATTATAGGAGACTGACCAATCAGCACACAGTAAGAACTCAGTGCTCAAGTGAAATCCAGGTCCGTTTAATTGAAATGCTAATTTACAATTCCTGTCCTAGCTCAGAGTGTCCTCCCTGACATGGATTATCTGGTCGCCCTAACCGGGCTAGAATTGGATTTCATGATTAGTCGGATTATTTGTCAGATTTACGGTAGTTCGGGCTAAAATGAACGAAGATAAAGACCATTTAAACTGAGGTACCTTAAATCCGACAAGTTGTCCAGCTAAGCAAAAAATCTTGTTTTTTGATATGGGTCCATGGTATTGCACTTCTGTGGCAGATGGAATGCATCTGACTTGTGTTAAAGATGTTCACTAAACATGTTAAGTGCATATAAATTCACTTTTTTCTTGAGTCTGTTTGCTCATACAAAATGAAATGCGATTAATATAGATTAAAAATGAATGATATTTAATCGTGATTAATCAAAATTAATCCACAGCAACCCTGTGATTAATCTGCTAAAAAAAAATTAATCGTTTGACAGCACTAATATTAAGTAAAGAACAAACTGTATCGTGTTCATTATTGGAATTAAACATGTACTGTAGTTGAAAGGACATTTGGATTGCTGAACATGTGTTTTAGATATTTAGATAAGTCTGGTGGAACATTACAGCACAGCCCGCAGAAGGTCGCGGCTTCCTTTGTGGCGTGTTGTATGTTGCGTAACATTGCCGTGCGTGATGGATGTCTGCTGGACATAAATGAGGACACATTAGAGGACATTAGAAGACGTTGAACTGCTTGTGCCAATGCCAACAAAGGAGTGAATGCCAGCCACAGCGTGGGTAAGAATGGATCAGCTGGCTGGAGAGCTAATTAAATTAGCTGTAGCCTGGTAAGGAATCTAAATTGTCAGATGTAGAAAAATAATATGAACATTTTAAAACATTTTTAAAACTGTAGGTTGTGTTTCGTTTGAACAAAGATTGCACTAATATTTATATTTTGGTAACTACAGACCCAAAATTAAAATAGAAAAAAATCACACAAGCATAATTAAGTCCCCGTTCCCAGCCGCTGCTGTCATTCAGCTGCGAGCTTCTCCATCTACTGCCACCATTAAACCATTTTCAGCACTGGGCGGATGATCTGGTGAGGCCAGAAAACACTCGAAAGGCTTAGGTGGAACAGTGCTACTCCCGTAGATGATATGCTCGCGCATTTTCACCTCGCGCACGAGCACATACGTTTCCTTGGGGGAAAAGCGATCTGTCTCGCCGGGCAAACATACCACTGTAATAGCAATCTGTCACAGATCATGCGCTGCTGCCTTTTAGTGGTGAGGTGACGCGCCATTGCGATTGATTCATTGCATGTTATGCCCAAAACATGCCTCTGAATAATTAAGAGAGTTAGGACAACCTTTTGGTGCCATAAATGTTAGTTGCACTTTGCGCTTCACGGCACATCGTCCTTTATGTGAAAGTGAACACAAATCTCTACAAAGTGTTCTGAATTTATGAATGTAAAACACAAAATATCTGATCGCATAAGTAATTCATACTGTTATACACCTAAATCATCAGTGATGCAGCCAATTTACTTCAGAAGTCATGTGTTAGTTAAATGGAGATCACCTGTGTGCAGTCAAGGTGTTTCAGGCAATTCTAGTATAAATACTCTGGAATCTGGAAGGTCCAACTGTTAATGATTCATATATGAAGAAGACAAAGGGACACTCCAAACAAGGCTGTGACAGTGTTTTTGAAAATGACCATTCGGGGGATGTATGCAAGAACATTTGCGAGTGGCTGGATATTCCTTGGAGTACAGAGAGGTCAGTTGTTTAAAGCTGGAAAGAACATAGTGCAGAAGTAAATCTGCTTCAAGCAGGCTGTCCTCAAAACCCCAGTAACCATTCTGGGGGGGCATCAGGAGACTTACGACACCTCTGGGGGAGTTACGGACTTCCACAGCTGAGATGGGACAGACTGTGCATATGACAACTGTTGCCTGAGCGTTTCACCAGTTGCAGCTTCTCGGGAGAGCGGCAATGCGAAAATCACTGTGGAAAAAAATCTCATATGACACCTCAGCAGAAGGCATGTGGGGGAAACTCTGAAATCAGGTAGGAGAAGGTGCTGTGGTGTGATGAGAACAAAGCGGAGCGTTCTGGCTATGATACAGAACATGTGGCGTAAGTCAGAGGCCACACAGCACCAAAAACACACCATCCCCACTATGAAGCGCGGTGGTAGCAGCATCGCCCTGTTGGGAGTCTGAAGATGGAGGGTAACATGAATGCGGCAAGATACAGGGAGTGTCTGGCAGGAACCCTGCTGCCATCTGCAAGCCAACTGCACTTTGGCATGTGATTTATTTCCGAGCAAAGCAACGGCTCCACACATAATGCCAAGGCTGCACAGGAATGGTGTAAAAAGCCTGCAGTGGCCAAGTCAGAGTCCCAACCTCATTCCCATTGAGAATTTGTGGCAGGACTTGAAAATAGCCTCCCAATCACAGTCCGCAGCATCCACATGTGCAAAGCCGATAGAGAACCATTCTCATAATTGCTGTGACACTGACTCAAAGGGGGTGAATGTTTATGCAAGCAATTAATTTGTTTTATATGTGTAATTTATATCACTTTGTAGAGATTCGTGTTCGCTTTTATATTAAAAGAATTCTTTTCTCTGTTGGAAAAGCCTAATTAAATCGACTGTGATTCAGTGTTATAACTCCATGGGAATGAATCCTTTTTATAGTCACTAACAGAAGCATTAGTCAATGCAGCCATATCAATGATTTAATATTAAGTATCCTAATCATGAGGTTGAATTATGCATGTGGGAGTCTGTTTTAGGTGGTTATCTGCCCTGTGTAACAGGCAGGGTCACCTTGTTGTTATGATCCAGGACTTTCAGGTTGGTAAAAGCTACAATAAGAAGGTCTCCCTGACCAATGTCACGTACAGCACAAATTACTGCAAGCTTACCGGTGTCAGTGAGCAGCTGAAGGACTTCATCTCCGTACGGTGAGTGTCGGCTTCTGTGAAGCGTGTTAAGGAAACCTTCTCGCCGTGGTGTCTGTCTGTCGTTTTAGGTTTATCTGCTTAGCAATGACTTTTCTTCTTTTCTCAATTTTTCAGTCTATTTACTGATGTGAAAGTTAGGGGGAAAATAAATAATAAAAGTGAATCCCTTCACCCATTTTCCTTGGTGACTTATACAGTACAGGATCAGGGGATGCCAGTCCGTCACGGGGCATGAGGCAGGGGGCACCCTGGATGGGATGCCAGTCCGTCACGGGGCGCGAGGCAGGGGGCACCCCGAACGGGATGCCAGTCCGTCACGGGGCGCGAGNCGAGGCAGGGGGCACCCCGAACGGGATGCCAGTCCGTCACGGGGCGCGAGGCAGGGGGCACCCTGAACGGGATGCCAGTCCGTCACGGGGCGCGAGGCAGGGGCCACCCCGGACAGGATGCCAGTCCGCCACGGGGCGCGAGGCAGGGGGCACCCCGAACGGGATGCCAGTCCGTCACGGGGCGCGAGGCAGGGGCCACCCCGAACGGGATGCCAGTCCGTCACGGGGCGCGAGGCAGGGGGCACCCTGAACGGGA